GGGGACCAGAATTGGGGTGACCTGCTGGCTACTTCAAAAGATGTGAAAATAGATTCTGGTGAATCATTTCATTCATTTCTGAATGAAAAATGAGGATAATGAGAATGGAGAAAGATCTAATTAGAAAAATATTTAGGAAAGAGGATCAACAGGCCTTGAAGTCCAGCTTCATTGGAGGTAGGTGGGTTGGGCAGGAGGAGAGGGAAAGAGATGAATCAAGGGTAACTTCAAGGTGTCGTCCTGGGCTCAGGGTTGGATGGTGGGCCCTTCACCATTGATTTTAAGGCTCCCTGGGACAGACAACTAGGTATCTGGAATATAGCAATGGAGCTTGGGAGAGTTTAAGGCAGAAATTTGAAGGAGTTGTTGAAGTAATAAAAATAAATGAATTTCCCTAGGCAGATCCAACAGGTGGAGTAGGAAAAAGGAGTAGGTGCAGGACATTTCCTCCAGGAGGTGATGCCTGTGCTGGGCCTGGAAGGACGGGGGCCTGATGGGGCGGCAGTGTAGCAGGAGCAGCCCAGGTCAGAAGGCAGAGGCAGAAGCTAAGAGCGAACAGAGGGTGCCGATGCTGGAGAGGGCTGGGATGGGGTTGGGAAGTGACAGGAACCACCAAAGATGGTGAGAAGGGAGAAAGGGCAAAGCAGAGAACCGTTTCATGTTTCCATTCGCACGTGCAAAATGATAGATGGCCCCTCACCTTTGCATTTGTCACAGGTCGGGTGGCATCTCTCACAGGTCTGCGTGCTCTGCTCTGCGTAGTAGTGATGTGGGCAGGTGCGATGACATTCTCCCTTGGAGCGGAGCAGAAAGAAAAATGTATCGCAAGACAGGCAGTCTGTGGGCTGCGGGCCCCGGCATGCCTTGCAGCTCTTGTTGCACCTCTCACACCGGCCTGTGGCGTTGTCTGCGTAATATCTGAAACCAAGCAGGGAAAGCAAAGATGGAATACTAAGCTTTGCTCCTAAACTGGGTGTGGTGAAAAAAACATGGTTAGTCAGACAGGGTTCATTTCCAAGCTGGGGGACTTCAGCTTCTTTACCCATTAGATTCATTACTAATGATGCTAATGAATCTAATGATTCTCAGTTTTCTTCTCTGTAAATTGGGTATTACAATCCCTATTCTGTTATTTGTGAAAATTAAATTGGACAACACATATGAAAAGACCTAGTATTAATCTCACATAGTAGCAACTTGATAATTGTTGGTTACTATTGCCTTTTTCTTCCGTATCCTTCTCCAAAGTCAAGCTTTAAGTTGTGTCGAATGGGATCAGGGAATGGAAGACATTTCTTATTAATATAGTTTCTCAATTAAAAAAAATGTTGAAATAGGAGGTGGGTGACATGAGTGATGTTGGCCTTTACAAAATATGTTTAACTTTGAAAAGGTTTTTGGAGGTTAAATATGATAACAATATTCACCATTCATTAAGTTGTTACTGATATGCCTCATGGTACCCCAGGGACTTCCTAAACATTATTTCATCTTATTGAACTTGCAAATGAGACACTAGAGCATGGTAGTTAGGAGTTTGGCCTCTGAAAGAAGACCATGTGGTTTCAAATCTCAGCCATACCACTTATGAACTGTGTGACCTTGGGCCAGTCACTCAACATACCTGTGTCTCAGCTTCCTTATCTGTAACATGGGGCTAAGGATAGTACCTAAAATTAAATATGTGATTACAGAGAAAGTAATGAGGACAGTGCCTGGAATATTTTAAATAATTAATGTATATTAGTGATAATTATAAATGTTATGACTAATCCTCACAGCTAATCTTATGGTTTAGATATAATTATTCCTATTTTACAGAAGCAAAAACTGAGGCTGAGAAAATTTAGACAACTTGCTTAAGGTCAAACAGCCAATGAAATGGGACAATGTGATCTGAAGTTATCTGTTAAACACCATTATTCCAAAACGGTGCCTCAGTTGAAGGTAAACAAAGATCTTGCAAATAAGATAAAAAAGGATAAAGAAAATATCAGTAAGGATGGAATTCTAAAGGTCATCTGACTCCTGCCTGTATCTCTGGACATCAGCACACTGAAGCTATCCTAGAAACCTGAAGGTTCATCTGTGGTTTCTCTGGTGCAAAACTACTGGGCTTTTTTTGGAGTCTAATTCAGCTCCATGAACTTGTTGAAAACTACCGCCATGCCTAGGTAATGCTGAGCTTGCCTCTATTTAGCCACCTGTATACACTTGTACCTCAGTGGCCCAGCTTATGACAAATTAAGCCCTGCTTGGTTTTCTGCAGTTAGGTAAAGAACAAATACTGTGATATGTTAATCTCTAAGACTCTGAGGTATTTGAGAGATAAGGTGTTGAAAAGAGAACGACAGCAACAGCAACAAAAAAAGCACTGATCATGAACTGTATACTTAGCAAAGACCACATAGAACTGAAAACAGAAAAAAGTGAAAATCTATACAGAACAGAGAGAATACACAGGATTGGAGTCATAAGAAAACAGAAAAAAGTGAAAATCTATACAGAACAGAGAGAATACACAGGATTGGAGTCATGAGATTGGATTTTTCTTCCTACCTCCACTGTGTGTCAGTAGCTATGTGACTTTGGGCATGTCACTTAGCCTCTCTGAGCCTTAGTTTCCTTGTCTATAAAATGGAGAGACTAATATCAGCCTCATGAGACAACTGTAGAATGAAATCATGATGTAAAGATACATTGTGATAAGTCAGCAGGCTGAGAAGAAGATTCCAAAAAACAAAAGAATTTAAAAAAAGAAATATATATAAAAAAATAAAGATACATTGTGAGGGAAATTCTTTGTAACTCTAAGGCAGCATACAAAAGTTTTTTTTATTATTATCGTTATTACAGGTAATTATAAAGATGAAAAGCATAAATAGGAACCTCGGGAAAGAAAGCTTATTAATTCCAAGTAAGCTTTAAAAATTATCAGGAGTAATGCTAACAGAAAGATAATGAAGAGTGTTCTGGATCAGAGGAAGAGAAGAGCACAGCACCACTGCTTACCTTGATGACTCTTTTGCATGAGGGGACTATGAAACCTTTTGAGCCTCATATTCTTAAAGAGCATCTTGTGTATAAGTACAAACAATAACTCGGGGTTTGAAGAACCTTCTGTGAGGTTGAACATCAAAATAATCATGGGTGTTGGGACAGGGTGCAGAGAATCACACACTTGCTTTTCCAAGGCATACAAGGCTTGGGCAATGCATGTGGAACACTGATTTTACAAAAGAAATAATTCTCCATTTGTACATCATTAATACTCCATTTCTTCCCCATTAGAGAGATGGATGGCAACCTACACATCTCCCCAGCCTCTTATGGGCAACTTCACACACTGTGGAATGATTGTCTTTTGAATTCCATGGTCTGCATTCTATTTAGACCACAGGATTATCCCCTTTCTTTGTGCTTGCCGGTATTTAAAGACTTGATTTGGGGAAGATGGGATCCAGATCTTTCCAGACACTTATTAGGGTGAAGCTGAAGGGCTAAGCACAGTAGCCCCATCCCCGCTCTTGTCCGGCAGAGCTTTCCTTTATTCATCGACGTGGCTGGTGTTTTTCTAGAGCTGCTAATGTGTGTGGCTCTGTTCTGTGTGTTGTAGTAGCATATGTGAAAAATAAGAGGTGTTTTTCCTCCAGAAGTTTATAATTTTCTTGGGAGGAGACATAAAGAATAAGAATAGGCTCCTAAAGATCAAAGTCTTTGTCTCACTCATCTTATTCATACATACGAGGTACTTGCCATTAAACGTATTAAATAAATGAGTGAATGAACGAATGAGTTAAATCAAGGTGGAAGGCAATACACAGCACTAAAATCAATGAAACAACATAGCAAGACCCTGTCCCTACTAAAAGAAAAAAAATTAGCCAAGCTTCCTGGTGAGCACCTGTAGTTTCAGCTACTTGGGAGGCTAAGGCAGGAGGACTGCATGAGCCCAGGTGTTAGAGGTTGCAGTGAGCTGTGGTAATGCCACTATACTCCAGCCTGGGCAACAGAGCAAGACCCTGTCTCTAAAATAAATAAATAAACATTTTAAAAAATATAATAAAATAAAATGAATGAAACAAGCAGTAATTGCTATAGCACTGAAGAGACACGTCAATTTTGGTAAAAGCATTTAGGGAAGGTCCACGGTTATAGCTCTTTGATTCAGGTCTGGAATCTCTGGAAGCTCTGTGTGGTCTAGGTGAGTGATTGGGAAGGAGGGGTCCACAACAGGCCTATAATCAACCTTTCTTTCTACTGGGGATGCCCATCGGGGGAAAGTGATGACCCAGTCAAATCCTCTTCCAAATACGCTGGTAACCAGACCTTCTAATAGACACAATAATAGATTTTCCCAGCAGAAAAATAATAGAGTCCTTATCTGTGAAATGCTTTCAGGATATATCAAGTGTGTCTAGGTTGTTTATGATAACAAAACCTGTAATTTGTGGATTTATGGAGACATAACAGGTTGGAGAATTAATGGGGTATAAATGGAGATGTTCACTGAAGTTGTTTCCTTTGTAAATCAAGGTTCCATACGCACAGCTCTCCTCATACACACAAGGGAGACCTGAAATGTTAAATCTGAATCAGAACAAATCCTAAAGCAAAGAAAAGGAACCTAAGTGTTCTTAGCCTTAGTTTCCTCATCTGCAAAATGGGTTGCTGTTTGGAGTGGCTGTGGAATTCAAAGGGGGAGTATGTACTGAGTGCTTTACCCTTCTCTGCACTGGAGCAGGCACTCTTTTCCCAGCTGGAGCCAGCCCGGTCGGCAGGAGCGGCACTGCGTGCTGTGTCTCCCCTCACACGTCCTGCAAGAGCTGTGGCAGGGGCCACAGCGGTGGCTGCCCTCATCGGCATAGTAGCCCTCTGGGCAGTCCTCCACACAGGTTGTGTCTGTCACGGGAGGAAAAGAGTCTGTCTAAACATCAGACATGACACAAGTCTTCCAAACCCCCTCTATGTTCTCCCCACTTTGTACCATGGCAGGACGGGATGCAGGAGGAATGGGTCAACGTCCCCTTGGGCTGATGGATGTGCTTGGGAACTAAGATGAAAGTCCTAAGGCCATCAGGAGTTCAGAGGAAACAGAAGTCAGGGTGGACTCGCTGTGGCAGGTAGAACAGAAACTACAGGCTGAGTCGTTGTCCCGCCAATGGAGCTGTTTAACTAGGGGGAAGCCCACTCCCCTAAAGGAAAAACACCTCCCTCTGTAGTATTTTCCTATAGCTGCTTGAATAAATTACCACCAACTTGGTGCCTTGAAACAACACAAAGTTACTATTTTACTGTTCTGGAGCTCAGAAGTCCAAAATGGGTCCACAAGGTTCTGTTCTTTATAGAGGCTCTGGGGGACAATCTGTCTCCTGGCCTTTTCCAACTGCATTCCTTGGCTCGTGGCCCCCTCCTTCACCTTCAAAGGCAGCAGCACAGCATCTTCTTTCTCTCTCCCTCTGCTGCTGGCCACATCCCCTTCTGCTACTGTTCCTGCTCCCCTTGCCTCTCTCTTATCAGACCCCAGTGATTACACTGGACCCCCTGGATAATCCATGACAATCTCCCCGTGCCAAGATCCTTAATTAAAGCACAACTGCAAAGTCTCTTTTACTGTGTAAGGTAATATATGTGTAGCATCTAGGGATGAGGATATGACATCTCCAGGGGGAGGCTTTATTCAGTCTACCACAACTTCCAAAAAATTATCTAGTTGGTAATTAGCCTGACCCTCGTGGTATGGTGGTCGGGGGCAGGGTGGGGAGAATGTGAGAAGACCAGGCCTGAGCAAATCCTGTGCCCAGCCCTCGGGGACCTACAGCTCTGCATCGTGTCACACACGAGTGCTGAAGTCTCAGTTCTAGCCTAATTTGCATGCCCAGTGATGAGATGCCTTCCTCTCTCTATGAAGGCGTCTTATGTGACCACTGGAGTCCTGGTGTGTGTGGGGAAGGTGGGGAGGTGGGGTGGGAGTATTATATGGATGTGGTTGGAGGAAATGTTTTCATGAAGGAACGACTGCTGGGAGGGAGAAGACACTGAGATGTGTGTACCAGGAGTGAAGACGGACGGGTGGAGAAGACTGTATCTCTGAGTGTTTTCTGTGGTGACGTGATCGGGAGTGGTACGAGGGTGGGCATCCCTGTGTCTTAGCAGGGGAATGTGTCCTTGCTCAACAAGCAGAGGAAAAACTTGCTGCAAATTTCTACTCTGAGTGTCTGGCATCTCAGGTCTATTCTACGGGCCAGAGAGACAAGTGCTAATGTTCCTCGTCTTCACCGTATCCATCTTTTTCTTTTCTCTCCTACAGCTTTTTCTTTCAGTTTAGTTGAGTTTTGTTTCGTTTTCTTTCTCCCACACTGTTTCAAGCCTAATCATGGTATCCCTCGTAACCTGAGGACATCGCCTCATATGAGCAAGAACCTTCCGTCCTGAGCTGTGGGAGGTGGCCAACCTTGGACTGTGCCACATGTTGTCCAAGAAGATTTATTAATCAACAGACGCTAAATCAAGGGGAAATTTTGAGGAGGAGCAAAATAGCTACATATTCTTAAAGTGTGTCCCCACAGACCGCTTATTAATTACATGGGAATAAATAGTAATTATGCAGTGGAGAAACTGAACATCTCGACCAGATGATCAATGTCAACATCACCAATGAGAGGCAGGTAGGTATCAGGGGCCTCCAGGTAGGATTCTCAGAGGGCACAACATCACCTATGAAGAATTCTGGCTGAGAACACACACTCGCCATCTGATCACAGGGAAACGTCACACCAATCCAAAAGGGGGAATAGGGACTGTATTTTTCTAAAACATCAATATTATAACAGACAAAGAAGGTCTTGGAAACATTCCAGATTAAAGGAGGCTAACGGGACATGGAAGCTAAATGCAGCACCTGCTCTGAAGGGAAATTGGCAAAGTTTTAATACAGATGGTGTGTTAGAGTATTAATATTGTATCCATGTCAAACTTACTAGAGTTGACAACTTTCCAGTGGCTATATAAGAAAATATTTCTATTTTTAGGAAATATGTACTAAAGTATTTGTGGGAAAGGGACCATGATGTGTGTAACTTGCCCTCAAATTGTTTAGAAAAAATACATTGTGGATTATCATACATTTACATAGATAGAGGAGAGAGAGGGCGGACAAATGATGGTGTAAATGGGGTCAGAGATTGGCAGTGGGTGACGGGGTACAGCACCTATGTATGCTGTTCTTTGTACTATTCTCACACTTGTATCTTTTCTATAGGCTTAAAACTTTCCCAAACACAAAGCAAAAATTAAAAAGAAGAAAGCCCATGTCTACTAGACACTAGGCACTGTGCAAGGTGGTTTCCCCAAGGGAGGGGAAAACAAAGCCCTCCCCTCACAGAAGTAACTCACTGAGAAGAAGGGTCTTCCTCTGACAAGTGTGACACTGGTCCCTGGCAGGCCCTGTGCAGCGGAAGCACTGAGTGTGGCAGGGCTTGCACCCAAGAGCCTTTTCATCCCAGTACTCGGTGGGGGCACACTCCTCCTTAGCCACGCAGCCCCCGTGGCTGTTCAACCTCCAGCCTTCCCGACAGGCGGTGCAGGTCCCAGCTGACGAGCAGGTTGAGCAGGACTCGGGGCAATCTGTGGGTGTGGTGGGGGAGCAAACAGAGAGTGAGACAGGGAGGGCCAGGGCGCCCCTAGAGGCAATGGCTTCCCCTGGAAAGGGTGTTCACCTTCCTTCCACATTTCTTCCAGAGATTTTTATCCAAGGGTGCGGGGCCATGAGTTGGGGGCAGCCCTTCGGCTCTGGGTTCGAGAATTCTTGTTGCAAAATGAGAGAAAATGGCTGTTTACTTTCTCTGTAATACCCAGAGGGTGTCTTCTGCATCAGCCACCTCAGAAACATTAGTAAGGCTCACTGTGATCCCCCAAACTGCAACAAGATGAGAACAAGCAATGCTGCGGTAGCACGCTTCCACGTGCTGGAACGTGGCCTTTCCGCCATCACAGTGCCTGTTGCTATGGTCCTCCACTCACCTCCAGAATGCCTCGGGATTCTCACTAATACTGCAATCGTTGCAATATGTTATAATGGCCCATTGACAAAAAAGATCTCTTTTAGTATTTATTTCTGAATGCTCAGTGCCAATGAGAGGGCGTGGCATATTATAGATGCTCAATAAACATTTTTCTTAGACAAATAAAATAACAACTCACTCCCACCTCTGGGAGTGAGTTGCCATTGTCTCTGTCTAGAATTCTCTTCTCCCAGATATATACATGGTTTGCTTCCTCCTTCTCTTAGTGATATCTTTTGGGACATCTCTCAAGTTTCATCTCCATCTTGCCCATCTTCCTGTTTCCCTTCCCTGCCTTACTTTTTCTCTTGACTTAACGACTGCAGGGTCTGTCTTCCCCAAAAGAATGTGAGCTCCACAAAGGCAGGATTCTGCCTGTATCACTCCCTGCTGTTGCCCAGGCCTGGAAGAGCACACGGCACATAGCCGACCCCCAGCAGGCATTTGCTGGAGGAATAGATGGGTGTTATTACTGATGTTCCTATCACCATCTTATTTTAACTAGACTAGGAAATTGAGGCTGGTGATGCTAAGTCTTGTAGCTGAAAAGGGGAGAATCAGGAGTTGAACCAGGACCTCAACAAGCACTCTTGCTGGTTCTGCCCCAATGCCATGGGAAAGGGGTGGGATTTTTAGAGGTGTCTGTACTATCAGTTAGGGGATAATGTGGGACGGCCAGAATGGATCCAAAGGCCTTGTGTTTCCTAGAGGAGATCCAGCTTAGAGATTGCTCTGTTCCAGATGCCTCTCTACGCCTACCCAAATCTTGATTTTTAGTCAGGTCCTTTGTATCTTCTTTCTGGAAATTTCGGTTGTCATTCTGTTTCTTCCTGTACCAGATTCCCGAGCCTCCCTTTGCAGCGGTGGAAAGTGCCATGCATTGTAGGGACAGACCGCAGGTGGGTTTCCCGCTCTGCCCTAACTAGCTGGGTCACACTGAGCAAATGCTTAACTTCTCAACGCATCAGTTTCTTTCTCAGAAAAATGGAGAAGACTGCACTTACCTCAACGGCTCTCAACCCTCACTAAGCACCAGAATTACAGGGGGTATAGGTGGGGTGGGTGGGCAGGGGAAATTTAACAAGTTGGTCTGAAGTGGGCACAGACATTCGTACTTTTTAGAGCTGCTCAGGTGATTGTAATGGACAGCCAGGGGCCTTTCTCAAGGAGATAATTAAATCAGATAAACTAATAAAACACACTTTGAGACCTGTAAAGCTCTCTGTGTGGTAAATTTCTTTGATTACTGAACACCCGAGAAAGGCCAGAAGAGGAGCCTCAGCACCTGCCCTAGTACAGGCAAGACCAAGATGGCGCTGAAGGCCTTGGCTGAATCTTCAAATGTCTCCTTGCAGCTGACCCTGGGTTCCATCGCTGCCACACGTGCTGACTCCTGCCTCCTCTGCAGGCAGGCACAGCCACCCACCTTGAAGTCCACCCTCTTTGTCACAAGTAGGCAGGTGGGACACTGACACTAAATAGTGCTTTATATAAAGCACAAAAAGCGGCATATCCAGATCCCAAGGCTGAGCAGAAAGCTCCAGGAGTGAGGCCCGTCTTCCTGTTCTACCAAAACCCCTCCCCTGTGTCCTAAGGCGTGGGTGGCCCAAAGTTTCTCTATGAAAGGCCACCATGGGGCGGAGGAGGGGCAAGGGCAACATACATAACCTAAACATCTGTACCCCCATAATATGCTGAAATAAAAAAAAAAAGGGCCACCCTCAGGCCCTCGCCACTGTTAGGGGGACTGCCCCTGGTATCCATCTAATGCTTGCTGGGTGGAAACACAGGAGCTGAAGTGCCACCGGCTGCCCCATTGCCACGAATCCTGGGGCTCTGGAAAAGCCCCCTCCCCCAGAACTCTTCATTCGTTTGCTTGAGAATACCTCTAGTCGTGGACAATTTATTTCATTTTTCTGTTCTCTGATAAATAATAAGAGACAAACAATTTGTGCCCAGTTAGAATATAAGGAGGTGTAAATAACAGCAGAGCCTTTCTTGAACGTGTTGGGACTGAAGTGCCTGGTGGGAGATGGAATGGGGGCCTCCAAGCAGGAGGAGCAAAGATGAGGAGGAGGAAGGAGCAGAGCTTTGGGGCAGGGGGCAGACAATGGAGGGAGACAGGGGAGACAGAGGAGACCAAGCAAGTCCTCCGTGGCACAGTTTGCTTATGCTATAAACTTATATTGGCTTGACATTTTAAGAAATATCTCCCATTTGGGGTGACTTTTGAAGGCTCATCATCTCTGCTGTAAATCTTCACATGAGAATTCTTTTTTATTTTTTGTAGAGACAGAGTTTAGCCATGTTGCCTAGCCTGGTCTCGACCTCCTGGCCTTGAGCAATCCTCCAGCCTCAGTTTCCCAAAGTGCTGAGATTACAGGTGTGAGCCACCGCATCAACCTGAGAATTCCTTTTGACCAGTAGTTCCTAGCCACTGGTGTGAGGAGGGTCTGAAACTGTCCTCACAGGGTTAAAAAGAATTACTTGCCAGGTTCTGGACAGAAATATAGTTATAATAATTTTTTTCCCACCCTCCCTAGCAGTTATAATCAAGCACTAATCAGACTGCATTTTGGCCCACTTCCTTATACCTGTTTACTAACCAAAAGTCATGTAGCACTAAATATTGACTTTTGCAAACCCATCGTTCCTATAGATAGGCTCTCTGATGTTAGAATTGTAAGGATTTTGTTTAATAATTGCTTAAGACGTTTTTCAGATTCTGAATTCCAACCGGTTTGAAGACCCCGACAGGAGAACCGAATCAGCACGAGCATGCAGTCGCTTCACCTCCCATCCCGTGACTTCCCCCGATCAATGATCCCCACACCTTGGCCCACTACTCATCCTGACCCCTTAAAATTCCTAGTCCCAAACTCCTCGGGGAGGCAGATTTGAGGTTTCCTCCTGTCTCCTTGCTTGGCTGCCTTATGATTAAACGTCTTTCTCTGCTGCAACTCGGCATATCTGTGTACTGACTTGCCGCACATCAGGCAATGAACCCGGTGTGGTTACAGGTCCACATGATTTCCTACTAATAAAACTTACATGATCAAAGCTTGTGAGTGATTCATTTAAAAAATTAATTAGAACCAATTCAAAACACGCTTCCTTGAGTGGGAGGGTAAAAGTGAGGTGACAGCTGTGGGGCTGGAACTGTGAAAACTCCAAAGCCTGTTTTGTCTGGGCAGAAACCCATCTCGTTAGGCTCCCTGGGATGCCGTGTCTGGCCATGTATCCTGAAAGTCTTTACCTCTGCAATCCTTAGTCTGTTTTTCATAGTAAGTTCCTGCTGGGCACTCGTTCAAGCACAGCCCATCGTAGAGGACCAAGGAAGCACTAGCACAGAGCTCACAGTCATCAGCTTTGGGGCCCCTGCACTCCAGACAGTCTTCGTGACAGGGGACACAGTGGCGTGAGTCCTTGTAGAAGCCTTGGGGACAGGACTGATGGCACATGTCGCTGTGCAGGAAGAACTCAGGCAGGCACTCTGGGGGGAGGAGGAAGTGGCAAGTTATCCCCAGGGGTATACGAGAAAGGAACTCATTGCCTTTCCAGTGGGCTAGCCTGTCCCTGACCACTTTGGTTCTTTTGAGCTGGGGGTACACTTGCCCCATCCCCACCCGGTCAGGGCACAACTTCGATGTCTAATAAGCCCTGCCTTGCGAGAAGGAGGCCACACATGGTGGCCTGATTAGATTTATGCACTGAAATGGCCTGCCGTTTGGAGGTGGAAAAAATTCCAGTGCTGTGGCAGATGGATGGTTGAGATTCTGGTGGGATTGTTAGGAAAACCTGGAGAGCATTAACAGTTTTTAAAATTGGATTGAGCACCTCGCACCCTATTCAATATAGAAAGCAGTCTAGGAATTGTTGGCTTAGTTGATTTTTCATTGATTGATAGGGTCAAACAATGAATAAATGGCTAATGAGTGTGAAGAATGCATTGAGTTTATTTTGTGTTCATTTTCCTGTTTGGGGGAATCCCGGAAAACACTTTAGATCACACCAGGAGAACATCTTGGATAGGACAGCACCAGTTAGATGAGTCCGTCTTATTTCAGAGAGGAAAATGGACAGCTATTCCTGGGTGATAATTCCAGGGGTGGAGGGGAAACTGTTCATAGGCAGAGTGACAATCTCAGTCTTATAGTTTCCTGAGATTCTCTTTCTTATTCTTTGTAACAATTGTAATTTTCTGGCTACCTCTTTGTTTTATTGTTTAATATCTGTTTGTAAGATTTTGTGCTCGAAAACATGGGAACTTTGGGCTCTTATCTGTATTTCTAGAACCTAGGATAGTGCTTGGCACACCTGTGTGTGTACACGTGTGTATGTCTGTGCAAGAAATCATGCAAAGGGGGCTCCTGTTTGTCTTAGTTTACAGAATCCATGATGAGAAGGGTGGATCTCACTCTCAATTTCCTCAATGACAGGCACGGGAGAGATAAATTTCAGTAAAAGGAGGGAGACTGGTACCCACGGTGTCTTTGGACACCCCACCCCCAGATAGCCGGCCTCCACCCGGGGTGGCTCAGCAGAGCCCCGCCCTCCCTTGAGATGCTCCCTGGTACCTTTGCATGTTTTCTCGTGGATGCACTCCTGACACCTCTCTGGGCAAGGCTGGCACACCCCCTCCACAGCCACGTGCCTCTCGGAACAGGTTTCCTGGCACACTCCGTGGTGCAGGACAAGGTCTCCTTCACAGGAATGGCAGTTGGTGGCATTTCCTTCACATGTTCTGCAAGGAGAGCTACAGCGTTCACATATGCCGTCTTCTGCGTAGAAGCCGCTGTAGAAGGGAGAGAGAGCACAACTGGAGAAGCTGACCCACTGGAGAGATGATTCATACCCGGGGACGAAGGAACTAGAACTAAAAACAAAAGGGCTGCTGCCAACCAAAAGGAACCCGCAGGATTTCTCGAGGAAGCCCAGTGAGAAGGAACATCCAGAAAAACAGAATGAAAAGGGTAGGCATTACCCTTGTGGGTGTGATCTGTTTGAAAACAACTGTCATGAATTTGTGTATAGTTTAGTCGTCTTCTCTTTTCCCTGGGACTCCCTGATTTTCATTAATTTTTCTTTCTTTTTATTAGAGCTTTCCTTTAGAG